ATGGTCATGAAAATAAACTTTATTTTCCTCCACAAATTCCACTAAATTTTCAAATTGTTTGCGCTTTGTTTTTTTGCCTCTTCTGTGCATGCTCCATTGCAAGCGTTTGAGAAGATGGGTCAAGAACAGTAACGCACGAAATGAAAGTGAATGCCAATCATAAACAAAGACAAGTATAGTAGGAGAGTCAAATAGTCAAAACGTGCACATGTGGTGCATATGTTTTAGAAGCTTCGATGGTTTGATGTTAACTCGCTCTCTAACTAATAGACTATTCGTATAAGGGCATCTCACTTTATGCATCCAATATTTTTTTCCTTTTTAACGTTTGATAGATAACTGGGTTGGAAACGCATACGTTAACTGGGAGATAGAGTTTCTCCTCGGTTGTGTTGCTGCGTTACCGAAAATGTTATCCTGAACTGTTAAGTTGCTATAACGTGTGGCCGGCAGAAATAGTATTTATGATACAGCACAGAGCTGAATGCGTCGTTAGTTTGAACGCCTGACTCCGCAGCTGTTTGGTCAATGGGTGACACATTGGAAGCGATATTGCCCCTATCTGGGCCTACCTCGGTTGAACGGTCTAAACGCGCACTCATTTCTGATTTTTCCGCGAATATTAAATGGGTTTCCGCCCTAGCCAACTCATGTCAGATGGCCAATAATTGTCCTATGGCCGAGAATACAAACGACTAGTGGGCAAGATATTATTCAGAGAGTTCATCACCATGCCATGTTGCGTCGGGGAGTACCAAGGTTCGGTTGGAATCCGTAGCAAATCCTTTAGAAAAAATGTTTTTGTCCCGTTGCGCTGTGTTGTCCCCACCAGAACGGTTTTAGCTCGTTGCGGAATTAAATAACTCAGTAAGTGGTAAGTAAGTCTTTTTTAACTAAGGAACTGTTTTGCGAAGGGGATAGTTGGTCCACCCTTTTTCAATGTTCTCTTCGGCAGCACTTCGGTAATCCTTCATTACCGGAAAAAACACTGCTGAAACGAAGGTTTGGGAAAATTCAGGATTTCCTAAGGCCGGTTCTCTTTTCTAGTTTGACGATTTTACTTTTTGTTTTCCCTTCGGTGTCCGGAAAAGGGTAGCTTTGTCACCTCAGAGCCTTGTACCTCTATGGGCGTTTGCTATCATAGGTAAACAAAGCTGAGGATTGCAAAAGGACTGTAGGGCATCTAAAATCGGGAAACATGTTCAAGATCCAACAAATAGCCAACGGGCTAAAACAAAATTTAAAAAACCAGCGGGCTTTTTGAATTGAAAAAAAATTCAAAACTTAAGTCTAAATTAAAGTGCGCAAATTGTTCTTCGCGCAGGGATGCCAGCTGATTTGACCGGAATCATCAAGGAGAAATTTAAGTCTTAAAATCGAAAATTGAAGTGAACCAAATGCGTTCAAGGAACGGCCTAAGAAAGTTATTGGTTAGGGACTAATCGAATTTCTAGACCACTTAAAGGAGGATACCTAGATCCTTAACTAGCAAAGGATATATAAAAAACGGTGGTAAAATAGTCCACAATTCACCAAATAATTTTAAGCCAAACAAGTAAGCAAACATTTTCCATAGCCAATCGTGGTCTGGCTAGATATAAAAAATAGACGC